TTTTTTGTCTTTTTGATAAGAGCCATAATGACAGGTATAAGGTGATATCTCATTGTGGTTTTGATTTTGCATTTCCGTGATGATGAGTAATGTTGAGCATCTTTTCATGTGCCTATTGGCCGTCAGTATGTCTTCTTTAGAGAAATGTTTATTCAGGGTGCCTGGGTGGCTCAGTCATTAAGCGTCTGCCTTCAGCTCAGGTCGTGATCCCAGGGTCCTGGGATTGAGCTTTGCATCAGGCTGCCTGCTCCGCGCGAAGCCTGCTTCTCCCTCTCCCACTCCTCCTGCTTGTGTTCCCTTTCTAGCTGTCTCTCTCTGTCAAATAAATAAATAAAATCTTTTTAAAAAATGTCTATCAAGCCCTCTGCACATTTTTTATTCGGGTTATCTGGTTGTTAAGGTGTGAGTTTTTTATATATTTTAGATATTAACCCCTTATTGGAGATATGATTTGCAATTATCTTCTCCCATTTAGTAGTTGCCTTTTTGTTTTGTTGATGGTTTGTATGCAAACTTTTTTGTTTGATGTAGTCCTGTTTGTTTATTTTAGCCTTTGTTGCCCTTGCCTCAAGGGAGTGAGCCAAAAAAAAATATTGCTAAGACTGATGTCAAAGAGCTCACTGCTTAGGTTCTCTTCTAGGAATTTTGTGGTTTCAGGTCTTACATTCAAGTCTTTAATCCATTTTAAATTTCTTCCCATTGTATATTCTTGCCTCCTTTGTCATAGATTAATTGACCATATATGCCTGAGGTTTTTTCTGGACTCTCTGTTTTATTCTATTCATCATCTGTGTGTCTGTTTTTGTGTCAGTATCACACTATTATGATTACTGTAGCTTTGTAGTACAGTTTGAAACCAGGGGTCATGATCTTCCCAGTTCTGTCCTTTTTCAAGATTGCTTTGGCTATTGGGGGTCTTTTGTGGTTTCATACAAATTTTAGGATTCTTTGTTCTAGTTCTGTGAAAAATGCCTTTGGTATTTTGATAGGGATTGCACTGAATCTGTGGATTCCTTTGGATATTACGGACATTTTAACAATATTAATTCTTACAATCCATGAGCGTGGTATATCTTTCCATTTTTTGTGTGTCATCTTCAATTCCTTTCATTAATGTCTTACAGGTCTTTCACTTCCTTGGTTAAAATTATTCCCAGGTATTTTATTCTCTATGATGTAATTGTAAATGGGATTGTTTTCTTAATTTCTCTTTATGATAGCTTATTATTAGTACATAGAAACAATCAATTCATGTATGTCGATTTTGTATCCTGTGACTTTATTGAATTCATTTATTAGTTCTTTTTTTTTTTTAAGATTTTATTTATTTATTTGACAGAGAGACATAGTGAGAGAGGGAATTGAAGCAGGGGGAGTGGGAGAGGGAGAAGCAGGCTTCCTGCTGAGCAGGGAACCCAATGTGGGGCTCCATCCCAGGACGCTGGGATCATGACCTGAGCTGAAGGCAGATGCTTAATGACTGAGCCACCCAGGTGCCCCTCGTTTATCAGTTCTAATAGTTTTTTGGTGGAGTTGTTAAGGTTTTCTATGTATAGTAGCATGTCATCTGCAAATAATAACAGTTTTATTTCTTCCATTCCCAATTTGGATGCCATTTATTTCTTTTTCTTGTCTAATTGCTGTGGCTAAGACTTCCAATACTATATTGAATAAAAGTGGTAAGAGTGGACATTCTTGTCTTATTTCTGATCTTAGAGGAAAAGCTTTCCGCTTTTTGACATTGATGATGCTAGCTGTGGTTTTGTTATATATGGCCTTTATTGTGATGAAGTATGTTCCTTCTATACAATTTTGTTTAGAGTTTTTATCATAAATGGGTGTTGAATTTTGTCAGATGCTCTTTTTGCCTCTATTGAGATTATCATATGATTTTTATCCTTCGTTTTGCTAACATAGTGTATCAGGTTGATTGCTCTGTGGATGTCGAACCATTCTCACATCCCTGGAATAAATGCCACTTGATTGTGGTGTGTGATCCTTTTAATGTATCGTTGAATTCAGTTTGCTAATTGTTGAGGATTTTTGCATCTATGTTCACCAGGGATATTGGCCTGTAATTTTCTTTTTTCATGATGTCTTTGCCTGGTTTTGTATCAGGGCAATCCCAGCCTCACAAAATAAGTTTGGAAGCATTCCTTCCTCTTCAACTTTTTAGAATAATTGAGGAGGTTAACTCCTAACTCTTCTTTAAATATTTGGCAGAATTTACCTGCAAAGCTGTCTGGTGCTGGACTTTTGTTTTGGGAGGAGTTTTAAAATTACTGATTAAATTTTATTACTTGTAATCAGTCTATTCCAATTTTCTGTTTCTTCATAATTCCATCTCAAAAGATTACATTTCCTACTTTTTAGTTTCATTGACCTTGCTATTGTTTTTTAAGTCTCTGCTTATTGCCACTCTGGTCTTTATTTCTTCCTTTTACTAACTTTGGGCTTTGATTGTTCTTTTTCTAGTCCCTTTAGGTATAAAGTTAAATTGTTTATTTGGGATTTTCTCTTGTTTCTTGAGGTACACCTGTATAACTATGAACTTTCCTCTTAGAACTGTTTTTGCTTTCTCCCACAAATTTTAGAAAGTTGTATTTTCATTTTCATTCATCTCAAGGTATTTATTTTCCCTTTGATTTCTTCATGGACCCATTGTTGTTTAGTAACATGTTGTTTAGCCTTTACGTATTTGTGTTTTTTTTAAGTTTTCTTCTTGTAATTGATTTCTGGTTTCATACGCTCATGGTCAGAAAAGATGCTTGATATGATTTCAGTCTTCTTGAATCAAGACTTGTTTTGTGGCCTAACATGTGATCTATCCTGGAGAATGATCCATGTGCACTTAAAAAGAATGTGTATTCTGTAGTTTGGGGATGAAATGTTCTGTATATACCTATTAAGTCCATCGGGTCTAATGTGTAGTTTAAGGCCAATATCTCCTTGTTGATTTTCTGTCTGGATGACCTATCCATTGATGTAAGTGGGGCATTGAAGTCCTCTACTATTATTGTATTACTGTCCATTTTTTAAAATCCCTATGAGCTTTCAAAGATAACATGAGAGATTTTGAAGATATTTCCTTCTTAAGACAGACACTCCAGAGTATTCCTCAGACTTTGTGCAAGTTCCCTCTCTGGTAGAAAAGTTTGAGCAATGTTAAAATAATGCATTTCCCCTCTCTGTGTGATTATTGTTTTTATAAAGACTCATTGAGATTCTAAGACCCAGAAGAATGCCTCCCCGATGGTGGGATTTAGTCCACGTGACTGATGACAGCAGACCAGAACTCCAGAATATTTGAGCTGGAAGGAACTGTAGATATCAAGTCAGGTTCTTTATTAACAGAAAAGGTCCAAAAAAGGAAATGGGATATGCCCAAGGTCACAGAGCTCCATCTCAAGAGTGCCAACCCTACCTGCTTTGGAAACAACTTTAGCAACCACCTAACACCCACGCCTCCAAGATCCACAGCTGCAGCTCAGTGGACTCATTGCCTCCTCAGGGGCAATGAAAATCTTCTTGGGTTTAGGTCTGCTGCCCACCTGTCCCTCCACAGGTGGTTCTAGAGCCACCCAAGGTGGGTTCCAAAGCCCCAGGAAAAAGAGGTGCACAAGCTGTCTACATCCAGCTTTTTGTATCATTTGCTTTCTGTTCTGTGGCCTTGGCAATGGTCTAGTCATATTCTCTCTACCCAGACATCTTTGCAGTTATTATAAACTTATTATCTTATATTAGTCACTAATCATAGCTTGTATTAGTCAAGGTCCCAGCAGGAAACAGATGGCACACTCAGGGCTCAACTGAAGAGAGTTTAATGGGGGGACTGTTTACAGACAGCTGGTGAAGCACCAATAGACTAGCAACTGCAGGAAGCCATTACCACCCACACATCCAAAAGGACAATAAGAGGAGGTGAGTTGCATGAGCCCAGTGGGAGCTGGAGTCATGGGAGAAGGGCCACCCAGCAGGAAAAACACAGCCACTGGCAGAACTACAGGGAGGAAAGGAAGGAATGTGGAAGAAATGCCCCACCTCTCTTTCTTCCCTCCTCCTGGCTTCTGCCAGGACCTCCTGTTGGTGAAACCCATCTGGAAGCCAGATGGCAAGGGAGCCCAGATGAGATGGCCCACAGGGGATGTCCTCCCAGGTGGAGAAGCAGAGAATGGAAGGGGGGCAGCGCGAGGGACAGAGAATATCAGCACGTGACTAATTTCCTTCTCTCATTTATTTACTCTGCTCGCAAAATGCCACATCTGTCATCTCTCTATGGTTCTTGAGTGCCGATCACTGAGTTCCAACTGGCTGGACATTCCATGTGGTCTGATTAGACCAAGTATCAGCCAGAAATGGCCAATTGCAGGAGAACATGTTGCAGAAAATGTTGTTGCAGTGAAGTCATGTTCTGTAAGCTTTATTCTTCATGGTTCAACAAATTCTGCCCATTTAAGTGCCCGAAACCCAATGTCTTCCCTTTTAAAAATGCTGAAAATGGGTATTTCTTCATTTACATGAGCAGTGGGTGAAGCTTAATACGGTGTTGGACTGAGAACATCACATTCATGCCTTTGGTGATCTGGCAGGAGGCCCAGGGTCAGTAAGGCCCCAGCCCAACCAAAGCTGTCGCTGGGGGTGGTTACTAGGGTTCATCTCATACACTAATTTGAATCGCTAGGTCGCTGTGCTGACAAGGATCATGAGGCTGTTTCTAGCCTCAGCAGTGCCACGATTGATTAGTGATGTCTGCTGTGGACACAGACAAAGCTATGGTGGTGCCATCTTGGACCTAAACTGTTACCTAGCTTGGCTTTTGGAGGAACCTCTCTGATTTCCTCCTCTACCAGCCTGTGACTTCCTACCCTCTCATTCTTCTTTCTTTCTCTCACCATATTGGATCATTCTAAGTGATCCCAGCCTAGGAGACTATCCAGCCAGGTCCATCTCGACCCCTCTAGCTAGCTGACCAAGGAACCTGACCACACTCTTCTTCACAGGCCACCACTCACGTGTACGTGACCATCGTGGACGAGAACGATAATGCACCAGTGTTCCAGCAGCCCCACTACGAGATCTTACTGGATGAGGGCCCAGACACAATCAACACTAGCCTCCTCACCATCCAGGCGCTAGACCTGGACGAAGGGCCCAATGGCACAGTAAACTATGCCATTGTTGCAGGCAATATCATCAACACCTTCCGTATCGACAGACACACGGTCAGCAACTGATGGTGGGGTTTAGGAGGAGGCTCAGGTGGCTAAGGGGATTGGAAGGGACCTCAATGACATCATGGGAGGTGGGAGCAGAGCAAAGATGGAGTCTGGGAGGAAAGTGTGGGGGCAGCCAGTGCAGAAGGAAGCAAAGCTTGTGGGATGGCAACAGGGGTTCCCCATCATGGCCGGGATGTCAGAGCACGCTTCCTGGGGTGGTCTGAGGTGCCCCAGACCCACCACCCATTGATCCACCCTTGTCCCCTCTGTTATCCCCCAGGGTGTCATCACTGCTGCCAAGGAACTGGACTATGAGATTAGCCATGGCCACTACACTCTGATCGTCACTGCCACGGACCAGTGCCCGATCTTGTCTCAGCGCCTCACCTCTACCACCACGGTGGGTGGGTGGGACATAGCCTCAACGTGGGGGAGGACAGGGCCCAGAAAGCTCTAATGGGGAAGGGGAAAAGGGAAGATTGTCCAGGAGAAACACCTAAATCCAAGAGCCCTGTCCTGGTCTTGGCAACTCAGCCAAATTTGCTGTGTGACTTTGAGGAGGTTACTGAACTTCTCTGCGTGGCTGCATCTGTCAGACAGATGATGACACCTGCCTTCCTCCCCTTCATGGGAAGAGTACAAACTCTGGTCAAACCAACAGAAGCTCATACCCCTGCTCTTCGGCTCCCTAGCTGTGTGACTCTAGGCAAGTCATTTAGCCTGCCTGAGCTGCGTTTTCCGCCTCCATGAAATGGAGATAGTAGAGACTTGTCAGGGCTGTGGGCAGAGTGGATGAGACCATGGGAAATGACCATAGTGGGGCAATAAATAGAAATGTGTAGCATTATTATGAACAATACGACGATTATGCCCATAAAAAGGCTTTGACAATGACAGTAACTTATCCATAGGCATAGCTTAAAAGCCCCCCCAACCAACCATGATCCCTGAGGATTCTTGCATCAGCCCCCTGAGACAGGATTATCAGACCCACTTTACAGATGAGGGAACTGGGCTCAGCACAGGGCTAGCCGGGATGCAGCCCCAGCTATGCTTGTCCACCATCTCAGGCACTTGTGAACGTGAATGACATCAATGACAATGTGCCCACCTTTCCCCGAGACTACGAGGGGCCGTTTGATGTCACCGAGGGCCAGCCGGGGCCCCGAGTGTGGACCTTCCTGGCCCACGACCAGGACTCAGGCCCCAACGGGCAGGTGGAATACAGCATCGTGGATGGAGACCCTCTGGGTGAGTGGGGCCTGAGCCAGGCATGGAGGGCAGAACAACCTGGGGGCCTCTGCCCCACCCCACTTAGGAGTCGTGGCCTTGCGCTCTCTGGGCCTCAGTTTCCCCACCCACAAGATGATGGAAATACTCTTCTCCCCACCCCTTCTTCACAGGGATATATGAGAACATTCTGAAATCTGAGACTGGTAGCCTTGGAGGGGTCAGAGACCCCTTTGAGAATCAGATAGAAAATGCCCCTGCGTCATACCCAGAGGAAAGACTCCAGGGCGGAGGGAGGATGAATATCCTTGCCCCAAACCTTCAGGAACCCCCAGATGCATTCAGCACCCAGATTTTTCCACACAACTTGTTACCATGAATAGGCTTCACAGCTACCTCGGTGCTTGTCCTCAGGTGAAGAGCAGGGCTGGCCGTGGCCACAGCGGTTCCTCAAGTCAGTTTCTACTCATTTCTGCTGAGTCAGAATTTCAAACTCAAAGGCCTGCCAGTGTCAGGCCGGGGACACACATGGGGGAAGGGGTCCAGGCAAGACAGTAGGGAGTAGTGGGGGCTGTGATGGCCACGCTCAACTCTGGCCAGTGTGGCTATGTCAACATGCAGGCCCACAGGGGCGAGGTCTTCCCACCTTAAAGACAAAAGCTAGAAATCCAAATCTTTGTGAAACATCCTGATTTTCAATTGATCAATTGATCATTCAATAAATATTTATTGAGCACCTACCATATGCCAATCATATTCCAGGTGCTGAGGATGCGGGATGGTACAAACAGACACGCGTTCCAGTGGGAAGACACAGGCGAGGAACCTAGGTGGCTGAGGAGATAACTTAGTATGTTGGGAGGTGCTAAGTGTTATGGAGAAACATAAAGCCAAGAGATGGGACATGCCAGGCGAAAGCTGCAGTTCTGGATAGGGTGCTCAGGGAGGAGGTGACATTTGAGCAAAGACCTGAAGGAAGGAGGAGCGGGTCATGTGGACATCTGGGGAAGACCATTCCAGGCAGAGGGAACAGCAAGTGCAAAGGCCCTGAGGCCAGACACGCCTGGCATGTTCACATGTGTGAACGCCAGTGGCTGGTGTGAAGTCGAGTGAGCGGAGGAGCAGGAAGGAATGAGGTCAGAGAGGTAGTAGCTCCAGATGTTCTTGGGCCTTGCTAACCATGATGAGGACACGGCTTTGGGTCCGAGTGATCTGGGAACCATAGGAGGGCTTAGAGCACAGGAGGCACACAATTGGACTTAGCTGTTACGAGGGCCACTCCTGATTCCCGTGCTCAGAACAGACCGTTGAGGTTAAGGAGTGGGAGCAGGGGGACCACAGGAGCCTGTTGCAGTCACTCAGGCTACAGATGGTGTAGCTGGAACCAGGCTGCTCGCACCAGAGGTGGTGACGGTGAAGTAGACAGAGCTCGGGTATATCTCAGAGCTGGAACCAACAGGATGTGCTGACTTATTAGATGTGGAGAAAGTCTAAGATGACACCAGGCTTTCGGTCTGAGCAACTGGAGAGAGAGGGCACGACCGTCTGCTTGTGGGGAGGCTGCAGTGGGAGCAGGTGTGGGGGATGAGGGGAGCTCTGAGATGTCAGGTGGGGCTTAGATGCACAAGCCAGGGGTTCAGGAGGGAGGTCTCCGCTGGAGGCAGGTACCTGGGAGCTGTCAGCACAGAGATACGCAAAGCCACGAGAGGCAAGGCCCGCACTGGGGAGGAAGACAGACGAGAGCTCCAAGGGTAGAATCCGCCATCAGGAGGCTAAAACTCCACCTCTGTAGGGCAAGACTTGGAGCCCCTGCTACCCTGAGCTTGCAGGAGGCCACTCCGTTCTGACAGGCCACCCTTTCATGTCCCAAAGTCCCTTCTCTGGCCAAGCCCTGTGTCTTCCTTTCCCAAAACCAGCACAGTGAGGGACTTTCTCTGTTATTCTCACAACCATAGAGGCCTTATCATTGCACGGGAGTTCCAGCGCCTGTTCGGGAGGCTGCCGAAGCTTCATTGAGGGGCGTCTGCCGGCCAAGCGGCTGAGTCCCTTCCTAGCAAGAGGCCCTCACTGCACCCAGCTTTGGGGTACAGGGCTCACACCTGTATCGGAACAAACTGTAGACGGCTCCATACCATGGATTTTTGGAGCCTTGAGCCAAACCTCCCAGTTAAATTGACACATGATCACGGCCAGCCATAGGAATTAAGGGTCATGTGGGGTGTCCCAGGAGACTGAGAGGCACCCCCTACCCACCTGGCGGAGTAAGAGAAGCTTGGAGTCCCCTTCCCCTAGGAAGGAAGAGCCCAAAGATAACTTCAGGATCACAGAGCACTGCCCCATTTCAGGATAGACAAGGGAAGGCTGGGGTGGGGGGGAGGAAGGGGTAACCTGGGGGCATGGCTGAATGGCTCCCACAGGGCACAGCGTCCACTCCCCGCAGCGCCTCCTACCTCCAGGTTCAGTGACACCACGGTGGTAACTTGAAAACCTGACATGCTACGCATCAGGATGGTTTTCTGTGGAGAGCTGGCTGGGTGACACACGGAAGGGAGAGGCACATGCCCTGGGCCACCCAGCTCCCAGCACTGCAGCCTGAGCCTGGAGGGGCTCCTGTGGCTGGGGAGACATCAGGGACGACAGGGTTCTCGCGAGCCCCACCAGGCTCTGCAGAGGACATACGTGGTCAAGCAATAGTTGGGAAACAGGCCCTATGCCCTGGAGCCCCTCCTGCTAACCTTGGCCTTCTCGGGACCTCCAGCTGTCCCTTCCAGTCAAGCCCGCTCCGTCCATCCTCATCCTCCCTGAAAGCCCCCACTTCCTTCAGAGAACTGCCTGGGCTTCCTTTCCGGGTCCCTCTAATGACACCAAGACCTGCCATGGGTCCAGCACACATGACGTCGACCAGGCCTTGTCCGGTCCCAGCGCCACCATGCAATGGTACCTCTTTATTGGCCCATTTTCCATATGAGGACATCGAGGCAAAGCTCAGTCACATGCCCACGGGCACATGGGAGTGAAGTCAGGATGCAGATGGAAAGCCTCTGTATTGAACCCCTGTCTCCAAAAGGAGTGGAATGCTGGGGAGTTCCCTGGGGGCAAGCTGCCGAGAATAATGAGTCCTGGAGTCCTTGGCCTGTCCACCTCTCCAATCTGCGGTCCTTGAGCTGATCTCATGGGGGTCTAGCTTGGGCCCAGTCCCCCAGAGCCTTAGGCCTGGCCTTCTGAGCTCTCAGAACCCTTTTCCTTCCTTCGAGAGGGTGGCTGGCTTTGGAGAAAGGGTCGGAGGCCATCTGTTCACACATGGTCAGGGGCCCAGGTAGGGCTGGGAAACCCCGAGAAAGGGAATCCCCAACTCTTGTGAGACCTTGGAGTGTCAGGCTCAGGAAATCCTGCTTCCGACAGCTTCCACCCCCCTGGGAGGGTGTGGCCTGTGAGGCTGTGGGTGGTGGGGGGCACAAAAGGGCTGTTCGGGAGTCAGGGCAGCAATGGCAGGGGACAGGGATGGTGAGGTAGGATGGGAAGGAGAGGCAGAGGGAATTGTTGGCAGTTAAGGCCCCCATCCTTGCCATGCCCCTGTGTGCTGTGTGTCCACGAGCAAGTCAGTGCCCCACCCTGGGCCTTTCCCCCAGGTGTCAGAGGAAAAGTGAAGGAAGGTTTTTCTCTCTGTCCCCAGTTCCTGGGGCATGCATAGAGGCAGCCCCCCTTCCTCACATCCACCCCACCTCCCTCACTCCCCTTCCCTGCCCTTCTCCTACCCACCCGGGCTCCCATCTGCTCCCCTCTGCCCTTCCCCTCCACCCGCTCCCTGTGCTCAGCCTTCTCTCCCAAACCTCCCGCCCTGGTCCACTCTGATCAGGTGTCTAGAAAGACCACCGTTCCATGGATGCAGCAGGCTGAGGCCCAGAGCCCTGGATTTGAATACTGGTTCTGAAATGAACTTGCTGTGGGAGCTCAGACAAGGTGTCACCCTTCTCCGGACTCTCGATTCATTTTCCAAAGGACACAAGGGCCTGGGTGGTCTCTGAGGTCCCTTCCAGGCCAGTCTGAGAATCTGAGGTTCTTGCTGTAGACACTCTCATACATCCGGCCCCCTCGGCCAGGCCGAAATGAGGACTGAAGCCAAAGGGCCAGCTGAGGGCTTTCCAAAACATCAAAGACAAGAAGTCAGGTCTGACGAGAGGCCAAGAGGTGGCCCCGGGCCTGGCAGAACCCTGTTGACAGACCAGCTGTGGCTCAAGACCAGGGCTGTATGGAGGGCAGCTGGGGGCTTCCCTGCCCTCAGTCACTTCCGCTCTGTCCTGCCCTGTGCATCACCACTAGCAAGCCGTCCCTTGGGAGTAAGCTTTGCCCTTTCCCCATTTTCCAAGACATGGTATCTGGAAGGGGTTGTACATCACCAAGTACCCGAGACCTTCATTAATCATTTTCTGATCAAGAGTGGTGAGAGGATGCTTGTGTAGAAAGGGGCCCCCACTTTTTTCGACATAACCGTCTTACTTAGGGTCAGTCCCTGTCCTGCGTGTGGCCCAGGGAAGGGAACTGAACCGGTGTCTCAGGCACGCTGGGGTAGAAGTGGGCCCATGAGCACCTGCAGCCCAAGCAGCAATCTGTCCCCCTCACTCCCGCCCTGCCCAGCCCTTGGCAGGCTCACTGAGGATCTGAAGCTGGGGGCACGGGAGGCCCCGCACCCAGCTGTCCTCCACCCCTGGTGAGTAAGGCTCGCTAGAGGAAGCAGGGAGAGGCCAGGGCTTTCCACAGCTCCTGGCCATTCCCAGCTCACTCCAGCCTCCCCTGGGCAACACCCAGGGGAATTTGTGATCTCTCCTGTGGAGGGGGTACTGCGGGTCCGGAAGGATGTGGAGCTGGACCGGGAGACCATTGCCTTTTACAACCTGACCATCTGTGCCCGCGACAGGGGGGTGCCTCCTCTCAGCTCCACGGTGAGTCTAGGGGCTCCCCTCACTGCCCACCTCAACTCTCCATAGAGGTTCCTATTAATATGCCCACCCTTGTGCCCAGAGAGGCCCCAGGCTGACCTGTAGCCAGTCCAGACCCGCAGAGCCCCTAACAGGCTGGCCAGTGCCTCTCGGGGCTCACTGGGGCCTGGCGGTCATGGCCATTCAGAGCTCTCCCCACCCAGCCAGCCAGGCCTCCGCACCTGTCACTCTGCCGTTTCCCCCCTGCCCTCTGCCCGGCTCTGCCCCTTTGCCCTTTCGGCTTGCTTCTTATCCTCATTTTCATCTTCATGCCTTTTTTATTATCCTTGTCTTCCTCTTCCTCTTCCTTCTCCATGGCCGCCTGCGCCTTTCCTTCGTCAATCACTGCCCCGCCCCCTCGCTCGCCTGCCCCATCTCGCGCCCATCACTTCCTCCTCTTCCCCAACACGCCCCAGATGCTGGTGGGGATTCGGGTGCTGGACATCAATGACAATGACCCTGTGCTGCTGAACCTGCCCATGAACATCACCATCAGTGAGAATAGCCCCGTCTCCAGCTTCGTTGCCCGTGTCCTGGCCAGTGACGCCGACACTGGCTGCAACGCGCTCCTCACCTTCAACATCACCGCAGGCAACCGAGAGCGGGCCTTCTCCATCAACGCCACGGTAGGGAGGCCCCCAGGGTTCCTTCTCAAAAGGAGGGCCCAGCCCTAGAGGCTTTCTGCTCTGCTGTCTGGGCGTCTTCGGGTTCAATTTCCTCCTCGAGCCTCCGTCCTCTGCTGGGACAGGGGAGTCTCTGGGTCGTGTGGAATCTTGGATTTCCAGCTGAGCCATCTCTGGGGTCCCCGTCACCCCCAAGGCTTGCCATGTGCAGAGATGGGGCTGGAGCCTCAGTTCCATTTGGTTTATTACCAAGATGCACCGGGAAGTCCTCATTGTCCTCTTGGAGTATTACCAGCTTCTAGCACCACGGGGTTCTCAGGGGGCCCACCCGTCTCCGAGAGCAAGACCCGGGCATTGGTGGGTCACTCTTGCCCTGGCAAGACCCCGCCAGCCCATGATGGCCTTCTAGACCATATCTGTGGCAATCTGGGGAGAGAATTCACAGCTGCTCCTGGAGCTGCAGGCAAAGCAGTTGGGCATCTGTGGACCAGAGCCTAAAATGGGGGCCAGGTCGCTGCTCAGCTCACGAGCCCTCCACATCCCAGACAGGGGTCATCACCGTGAACCGGCCACTGGACCGCGAGCGGGTCCCAGAGTACAAGCTGACCATTTCCGTGAAGGACAACCCGGAGAACCCACGCATAGCCAGGAGGGTGAGGCCGAGGACACGGGGGAGCAGGGCTGCAGGCTGGAGGTGGCAGGCAGCATGCCGGGGGGCTAGATGCTCAGGTGTCCAAGTGAGCCCGTGCCGGGTTCAAATCCCAGTTCTACCTGGCATTGGGTGTGTGGCTTTGACAGGCAGATTTCTCTCCTACCCCATTTTCCTTCTCTTCTGCAAAATGAAGACTATCCCTACCCCAAAGTTGTGGAAGGGACTAGAAGGAGCCAATATCTATACAGTCATCAGCACTGTGCCTGGCACGTGGCAAACACTCAGTGAACACCAGCTATCCTCTTTTCTCCCAAACCACTGATACTTGGGCACACACCACCCATCACCACCCCCTCGCTCGCCTGCCCCATCTCGCGCCCATCACTTCCTCCTCTTCCCCAACGCACCCCAGAGGCTGGTGGGGATTCGGGTGCTGGACATCAATGACAATGACCCTGTGCTGCTGAACCTGCCCATGAACAGCAGCATTGAGTGGCGGGAGATGGGAAGCTGGGAGGCTGGACCCCCTCCCCGCACACTGCTACCTCGCCCTGTGGTTTTGAATAACCACCCCACCTCTGGGCCTTGGTTTGCTCAGCTCTGCAACAGAGATAGCATCCAGGGGTATGGAGAGGTTCTAAGATAAGGACCCTACTGTGGTTTTTGAAAGGCACAAGGTACAGCACTGGGGGAGAGTTTGGCTGGGCCCAGACTGGGGTATCTGGCAGACCTGCAGGGTCTGAAAACCAAGAGTCATCTTCCTGCCTGAATTCCTTCCTTACCAGGAGATGGAACATGATTAAATGCCAATTGCGTCCACCCTGTTCACTTCACAATACCTCTGTGAAGGAGTTAGGATTCCCATTTGCCAGACTGGAAAACTGAGGCCCGGATAGGGGGAACGATTTGCCCAAGGCCGCCAAGTGAGCTGCTAGCACAGCAGGGACTTGAACCCCGGTCTCTGGACCCTGAGTGTGGGCTTTTTAATCCTCTACCTCTGCGCCTCAACCCCCCACCTACCAACCCTCCTCCCACTGGAACATTTTGCTAGAACATGGCCTACAACCTAACCCTCCCTTGTGCCTCCCTCAGGATTTTGACTTGCTGCTGATCTTTCTGGCAGACGAGAATGACAACCATCCCCTCTTTACTGAGAGCACCTACCAGGCAGAGGTGATGGAGAACGCTCCCGCTGGTAGGTGCCAGACCCACCTGGGAGTTCCTGCTGCTGAGGCACCACCTGGGCCCCAGATGCCTGAGGACCTCCCTTGCGCTTGATAGGGGCCCGGCTGAAGGCTGGCTGGGGAGGCAGCCTCACCGCATGGCTGACCAGAGACCCCGCAGGTGCAGAAGGGTGTGGAGGGGAGGAAGGGGCACCGCTCTTGAGGGGCTGGTGGGCCCCGGGTTGCCACACCTCTTGGGGGCCAACCAAAGAGGCCATAGATCTGCTTGGAAAAGACAGCTGTGGTCATTGGTTCCCAAAGTGGTCTGAAAGCCGCCCCATTACCCCCCCAAGAGGGACAATTAAGGCGTGAAGACTACCCAGGAAAGGGGTAAGCTCACCCCTCCCTGCTCCCTCACCCCAGGAACACGGGCATCCTAGAGGCTTCTGGAAGCTCAGGGAGCACATATAATCAGAGGAGGGGGGCCAAGGGGCCCCAGGTAGGCCAGTCTAGCCCCTTCCCTGCACGAGTACACTGACCAGCCTCACCCTGTTCAGAGGAACAGACTCTCCTTTTTACCGTGCCGCTGGGGAGGCCCCCCTCACCCCTCCTCCAGCCTCCCCAGCCCCAGAAGCTTGGGTTCTAACTCAGAAAGACATGAGCCACGATGCTCCTTGTCTCTGGCTGGACATTCCCCCTCCACCTCTTAATCCCGCCTATGTGTGTGCTCACACACGTACATGCTAGTACGTGCCCGTGTAAGGCATCGGTGTGGGCTTGCTCGTGCGCACAGACACACACATAGGTACCCGTGTGCAAACGTGCCCACTTGGAGTGGCAGACAGGGGCCCAAGCACGGGGAACCCTGGCCTGCCAGCACTCCTGGGTGTGTGTTCACGACTGTGACCACGGAGTCCTGAACACATGCGGGAATCACACCTTCCTAGCCGGGTACAGCCAGGCCCCTCTAAAGAGCATCTTGAACACACCCGTGTGGACAGACTGGGCTGGATGTGCATAGCTAGACAGTGCCCACACACTCAGGGAGCCCCCGACCCTCCCACGGAGTGCCCCTCAAAGGCTGCTGGGAAGGCAGGCGCGCTCCAGGCCGGCCAGAAGGGCTTGCTCACCGTTGTTGTGTTTTCTCCCCAGCAGGGCTTTGAGGCTGCTCCCCAGGCATCTGCGTCAGTCTGCCAAGGCTGCCGCAGCCCGGCCCAGGGCTTCCCCACCCCGTCCACCTCACCTCCCTCCCTCTCATCCATCGTCAGCCATGGCTCACCGGGGCCGGGGTGCGGGAGGGGGCGGGCGGGGGCCAGGTCGGCCCCGCAGTGACCCCTCTCCCCCTGGCCCAGGGACCCCCCTCACGGTGCTCAACGGGCCCATCCTGGCCCTGGACGCAGACCTGGACGTCTATGCCGTGGTGACCTACAAGCTGCTGGGCTCCCAGAGTGGTCTCTTCGACATCGACCACCACTCCGGTGAGGGCTCCGTGCCACCCCAGCTCTCCCAGCCTGGCGCCAGGGCTTCCTGCTGGGGTGCGAGTGACCCACCGCTAGATCTAGGGCCTCCCTTCTCATGCTAGATCCAGGCTCTCCGGGGGGACCCCATTCCTCGTAAGGCCCATTTTGCAGCTGGACTAAGTGCCCTGGGGCCGGGCAGGAGGAACGAGCAGGAGGCTTGGAGCCAACCGAAGGGACCTGCTGGTGCATAAGCTCTCAGCCTAGGCAATGAGCCCCCAAACCCGCTCCCTCCATCTGCTCATGCCCCGGGCAGAGGCTCAGGCCCCTGGTCCACCAGAAGCAGCCAAAGGTCTGTCCTCAAACCACTTCCAAAGTTCCCCAGAGACCGTGTCCCATCAGTCCGGTCCTGGACAGGAGGCCAGCTTGGTGACAGGTGACAACAGGAAGGGATATGCTGGTGAGCAGGTCAGTGCTCCCCCCTGGGTCCCTCGTCCTAGGCAAGACTCAGGAGCACTGCAGAGGGTACCTGGGGAGAGGCTCATCCCAGGAAACTGGCTGCTGGGGGCCCTCCCTAAACGCTGCTTGTTGAGCCTTCAGGGAAGAAAATCACTGCGTTGTCTCCCCCGCTCCACTTTCATCTCTTTCCCCTACCACGCCCCTGCCTCTCTCTATCCCCTCCTGGCTGGCTCTTGCCCCGTCTCCCCACTGTACCCCCTTTCCTTTGTGTCTCCTCGGCTGGTGGTGCCGGGTGCCAGGCGTGGTGACAGTGAGGTTCGGTGTCATCATTGACCGGGAGGCCTTCTCACCCCCGGTCCTGGAGCTGCTACTGCTGGCTGAGGATATTGGACTCCTCAATGGCACAGCCGACCTGCTGGTCACCGTCCTGGATGACAATGACAACTGGCCCACCTTCAGCCCTCCCACCCTCACAGTCCACCTGCTAGAAAACTGCCCACCAGGTAAGCAGGGCCCAGGCCGGACCTGCTTGCTGGTCCACGGGGATTGGAGCCTCACAGGTTGGAGGCAAAATTCACCCAGTGCGGAGAAAGAAGGGCAGCAGGGCGGGCAGAGAGAGCAGTGGGGGGCGGGGGGCGTCAGAAAAACCAGGCGGCCCTCACCACCCTGCTCTGATCCACAGTGTTTGTCTGGAAAATGAGATTATTAAGATATGTTCCATCCGTGTCCCTGGACGGAAAGACTGTTTTAAAGTCAAAATAGGATGAATGTGATTGCCATCAAAATCAAATATGATTTGGAGGGTATATTTGATTCTAAAGGTCAGCTGGAAGAGTAAGAACATTCTGAGATAGAAGTATAAATAAGGTAGATTTGCCTTAATTGTCCCTCTTGGGGGGGTAATGGGGCAACTTTCAGACCACTTTGGGAACCAACATGGTAACATGTTACAGAACTGTAGTATTTACGACCACATGATAGGAGCACAAGACTCTGGGACAAAGTAACCCAGGAACAGATACTGGTAAATTAAGGAAAGTAATATTATGTGATTAAGGAAACAATGAAGGGGGGCCTGGCTGGCTCAGTAGGTGGAGTGTGGACTCTTATTCTCGGGGTTGTGAGTTCGAGCCCCACATTAGGCATAGAGAGCACTTAAAATCCTTTTTTTAAAAAAAAAAAAAAGGAAACAATGAAATCAGTTGTGAAAACTAATTACTGTGCAAAATATCTATTAATATTCAGTGCAGATTCTCACCCCATATCAGACACTAAAATGAAACCTAAAGACGTTCTAGAGAAAATACAAAAGAACAGAAACATTTACAAACAAAAGAAAAAACTTCAGGTGAATGTTTCGCTGATTTCTGGTAAAGAGGTTCTAAGCATATGAGAAACAAAACTCAAAAAAGGAAAACTATTAAATTTTGGTGCATACTAAGTTAAATTTCTTTACACCAAACAATAGCAACCAATATTGAAAGGCAAACAAACTGAGAAAATGGTATCTGTCCCCAGTTATCATAATTACATAGTTTGCATAAGTTGACAGATAAGTGGACAAAGGTCAAAAGCAGACAATATGCAGAAGATATTACTAATCGTTAAGTTAGTAAAGATTTTTCAATCTCTCAAATAATCCTAAAGTGTGAAATAAAATGAGAGTTACCTACAAAGTTGCAAACATGCTAAAAGATAACCACGGGCAAAACTGGCAAGACGGGGCCCTTAGGAACCACCAACAAATGTATCCTGATATAAGGTTTTTGGAAGAGGCCACTGCGCTCAGCCACTCCCCATTCCCACCCCCATAGGATTCTCAGTCCTTCAGGTCACAGCCACGGACAAGGACAGTGGCCTCAATGGGGAGCTGATCTACCGAATAGAAGCGGGGGCTCAGGACCGCTTCCTCATCCACCCAGTCACTGGGGTCATCCGTGTCGCCAATGTCACCATCGACAGGGAGGAGCAGGAATCCTACAGGCTGACAGTGGTGGCCACCGACAGGGGCACCATCCCTCTCTCCGGCACGGCCATCATCACTATCCTTATCGACGACATCAATGACTCCCGCCCGGAGTTCCTCAACCCCATCCAGACGGTGAGCGTGCTGGAGTCAGCTGAGCCAGGCACGGTCATTGCCAACGTCACTGCCGTTGACCGCGACCTCAACCCAAAGCTGGAATACCACATCATCGGCATCGTGGCCAAGGACGACACTGACCGCCTGGTGCCCGACCAGGAGGATGCCTTTGCTGTGAATATCAACACAGGTACAAGGGCCTGCTCCCCTTCCACCTCACTCCTGACCCCCTGCCCCAGCCTCCTTGCCCTCTGCTGTCTTCCTGATCCTCCCTTCTTTCTGTTCCTCCCCGTTCCCTCAGCTGCCCCCCCTACTACTCTCTTCCCCCACCCCCAACACCACACTGTCCCCTCTCTTCTCCCTCTCTTCCCTGGCTCCTTCCCTCTCTCCTCTCTCCTCCTCCTCCTTGTATCAGCTCCATCTCTCCTTCCAGTCTCCCTCACTCTACCAGTGTTCCATGTGAGAACGCCCACCTCACCACACTCTTGCCAGTACTAAATATTGTAGAGCTTTCGTGTTTGTAATTGTATAGGAAAATGGTACCTTGTTTTAATATGTATCTCTTTAATAACCAGGTGGTTGAACACTTTCTTCATATGTATGCTAGTCATTTAAGTCATCTGTAAATCTTATATATACCCTTGATGATTTTCTTAAACTATGACAAAAGAAACAACTGTGGCTTATCTTTCATGACCTATGCAGCTTATTATCATTTTGATGGCTTTACCATTTTCCCAATAGTTTCATGTTTTTCTCCTCTAGGGAGTTAGGAAGGGGACATGGGACCCCTACAGGTATACTCCTTGAAACAAGGCCAAGAAGAGTGACAGAAAAACTAATGTGGCTATGACAAAATTCTAAAAATCATTGTTATTCAGAGAAATGCATAGTAAAACAGCAATGAGATAGCAATTTTCCATATGTAATTAGCAGATGTTAAGATGCTGGACAGTATTGAGTATTGGTGACAATGTGGGGACATCAGAACGCTCATACATTACTGTAGGAGCTTAGACTGCTTCCACCATCTAGACAGCAGTATAGCACAAAGTCCACTCATACCCCATGATTCAGCAATTCTGCTTGTGGGTATATGTCCCAAGGATATTCTCAGGTCAGTAACAGGACTATATGCCATGTTACCTGCCATGTTATTGGTGGTGGGAGTTGGAGGCCACCTGAGCATCCATCCCTAGGAGATTGGAGAGTAAAACATGGTGGGAGTACCCCAGGAATACTCTGCAGCAGTCCGAAGTGATAGATTAGATTCACAGAGAAAGGTGGGTAGACCTTAAAAATAACTACTTACTGAAAGAGTAAGAAATAGAATGGGAGATATATACATATCACAGTCCCACTTGTGTAAATGTAAAATACACACACACACACAAATACATGATTTTCAGGAACACTTCCAAATGAAAAATATACTTCAGTCTATTACAGTGATTGACCAAGGGGAGAAGAGGGGAGAGGAGATACATACATAAAACAAGAGTGGTACCAGTGACCACAGGGTGCACTAACCCAAAGAGTACGATTCACTCAATATGCATCTGAGGTCCAAAGGAAAAAAGAAGACAGGAAAACCGTGAGCACTAGAAGAATTTAGATGGGTTAGCCATGCCCCAGGGGAGCAAACTCCCTGCTGCCGTGGTTGGTCAGGACCATGGAAAGCTGCTCTGTGCCCCGCCCCACTTTATGCTGGGCTGATGCCTTTACCACTTTTCTCGGCTCTGTTCTCCCTCCCTCCAACTGACTCTGTTCTCTCTATTTTTCTTTCCAGTGTCCTCTCTGCCCCCTCTTCCTCATGCTTTCCCTACCCCTGTTGCTTACCTTTCCTCCCCTTTCTTCTTGCCAGAGCCTCAGCTCCCTGAGTGCTCCTATCCCATGGGGCGCCCCCTTGCTTTCCTGCTTCCTACCCACCCCCTTTCCCTTCCACTCCCTTCCCTCTCAAACCTCCTGCCCTGGTCTGCTCTGAATCCTACTGCCCCCCATGCCCTGCTCTGCTCCATCCCCTCTGCACCCTGAACTAACTGATGTTAACCCTTTCTCTCTTCCTCATGGCTGGCAGGCCTGCAGGTTTGAGCTCGGTTTCTCTGTCACTTCCCACCTCATCTCTGCTTCACCCCATTGCCTTCCTCCATACCATACCCCTACCACCCTTCCTGTCCTGTGGGGCCCAGGCCAAGGCCGGGGCCCAGCCTTCGCAGACTGAATGCAGCCACCCTCTCCCCATCCTCGCTCCCCAGCCTCGGGGACGGGGAGCGAGAGTAGGAAGAGGAGGAGAAGGCAGCGGCCCAGGGTAAGTGACCGCCCGTGGCTGGGAACCCGAGGAAGACAGAAGCCCAGCAGGGGGTCTGCCAAGGGGGAAGGCAATCCCAGAGGCCACACTGCCTGCGAGGGAGCTGGAGACAGAGAGGCAGTTTCACCTAGGATCAGGCCCCCAGGCCCTCCAACAGAGCCCAGCCCTCCAACAGGCCCAACTACGTCTGTCCAGCTCAAGCCCCAGCCTCTGGAGGGTTCCTCTGTGATTCAGGGGCAGGCAGGGGCTGTGGGGAGCGGGGGGCAGGAGAAAAGGAAACAACTCCTTGCTAGTGTTAACACAGGACGGTGCTCCTTGCCCACAATCCGGCCCTGTCATGCCCCACTTAATCAAGGCAAAGAGGTAGGCCTGACTATCCAGCCTGCCCCACCACTGTCCCCTCCAAAGAACACCCTCAGGGATTTCTAGCTGCCTTGACCTTTTATACTTGGTCTCCCTAGAATACAAGCATTGTTTAAGCTGTGATAAAATGCACATGACATAAAATGTACCACGTTAACCATATTTAAGCATACGGTTCAGTAGTGTTAGTATACACGATTGTTGTAGAATATAAGCGTTTTTGAAACAAGCAATTACATGGCACTATGTGTCCAGCACCGTTCGAAACCCTTTGCAAATGTAAACTCATTTTACGGTTATAATCCTCAAAATAGCTCTATGCAATAGATACTGTAATTATCCTCATTTTATAAATGAGGAAACAGGTGCAGAAATGTTCAATAATTTTCCCAAGTTCACCTGGCTAGTAAGCAGTGAGTGAGGGGCAGAGTGAGGTGCCCCCAGCGTGCAGGTGACTGTGGTCTCATCCCAGCCAAAGAGGTCACCGGCAAGTCCCAGTTCCACTGGGGATCGCTGCCCTTGGTGTGGTTTGGGGGAGCTAGCCAGGAGAGCCCCTGGGAGGCCCAGATGTTATGGGATTCCCCTCAAACTGAACCTAGTCTGGTCTACAGGGTCCGTAATGGTGAAGTCCCCGCTGAACAGGGAGCTGGTTGCCACCTATGAAGTCACTCTCTCGGTGATTGACAATGCCAGTGACCTACCAGAGCGCTCTGTCAGCGTGCCAAACGGTAAGGCTCCCCCCACGCCCGCCCTGGCATCTGCCTGTCAGGGTAGGGACAGCAGGCTGGGAACAGGCACAGGCCTGCCCCCAGGGACGGAGCAGCAGGACCCGCTCACTGCAGGGGCTGCCAGTGGTCAGGCTACACGAAGGGTATGAAGGGCGGCCACTCCAGGGAGGCTCAGTTGTGAGAGCTCAACGGTGGGTGATCCAGAAGCCCAGAACTGTGTGTGATCTTGAACCCAAAGGCTCTGAGTGGGAAGGAGGTTTGGCAGAGGCTGGACGGGCATTGAGAAATCGACCGGCCAACAGAGACTTGGGCCAGAGTCCCACCTCAGAGCCAGTGAGGAGCGTGTGGTTGGCATGTGTGACGGGAACCTCAGATCCAACGGCAAACTGTGGGGTCAGCCCAAGGAAGGAAAGCACGAGGAAACGTGAATGTCCATGGAGGCCAAGACACCACTTTGGAGGGCGCGGGCACCAGAGCAGAGAGGGGTGCAGGCCGCTGCCCTGCTCGCAGCCTGAGGCATGACTGGGAGGGGCTGCTAGAGGAGTGGATTTTGCATGGGCAGAGCAGGAAGGGGAGGGTCACCCAGCTGCAAGGATGGAGAGATAGACCTGGCAGATATTGGCTGCTTATCTTTACAGGCCAGAGCCCAAGCTTTCAGGAAGGAAGAGCAGACCTGGCCATTGCCGACATGTCCCCTGCTCAGAGGGCAAGGGCCCAGGCGGGTTACATAGAGGGGATACCTCAGACTAGAAGTAGAAGGCCGGATCATGGAAAGGGTCTTCGAGCCTTAGACCATCACAGTCCTCCTACCTCATTGGACAGGTTGGGAAACTGAGGCACAGTAAGGGCCAGGGACTCCGCCAAGTTTCACTCAGCCGGTTGGTGGAACCCAAACCCCTTCCCCTATGGAAGAGTGAGCGACCTAGACCAGGGGAAAGGGTCACATGCGACCGCACGAGGGTTGGATCGAGCTTCAGGGTGTCCCAGGAGGGCAGTGAAAGGCCACCACCCTCTTCGGGCTTGACTGACACTTAGGAAGGCCAGGCCTAGCCACACTGGTGTCCCTCACGTCACCCTCACCCCCTGCTTCCACCCCAGCCAAGCTGACAGTCAACATCCTGGACGTCAATGACAATACGCCCCAGTTCAAGCCCTTCGGGATCACCTACTACACAGAGCGGATCCTGGAGGGGGCCACCCCAGGCACCACGCTCATTGCTGTGGCCGCCACGGACCCGGACAAGGGCCTCAATGGGCTGATCACCTACACTCTGCTGGACCTGATGCCCCCAGGCTATGTCCAGCTGGAAGACTCCTCAGCAGGTGGGTGGGAAATCTGCCAGAGGGGCACTGGGGGACATGGATCTGTGCCTGCTCAGCCTCCACAGGGGACCATGGCCCACTTGTTGCCCTCCAGTTGGGGCCCCACACTAGCCCCTCAGTGGGCTGGGCCAGATCCAATATGGCCAGCATTCTCGTCACTCCCAGATGCCCAAACTACAGGAGAGGAGAGTACCTAGTCCCAGGTGGGGTGGAGGCCCCCTCTGAGGTCTCCTGGACTCCTGGGATACTCCACCAGCGTCTCCACCACCCAGCCTTCCACTATGAGTCTCACTTAGGGAGCGAGAAGGCCAAGACAAGAATCTCTCAGAGGAGGTTCTGGGCTAGTTGGTACTCATCCCTTTGACTTGTGAAAAGCTTTCTCGCCCCTCCAGTAAGGAGAACAGCTAGATACCAGTTGCCGTGAGGCCTCTGGCCTGCCTGCCCCTGGGCACTGCTGCTGGGCCACCCTCCTTCTTCAGGGGGTCACCCCTGCCCCTCAGAGTTCCAGATCCTTCTCTTTATACTCTGGAGAGCTTCCATGAGTGAGGAGCGGCCAAACCGGCAGTGGGTGCCTCTGTGTCTTAGGGAAAGTCATTGCCAACCAGACGGTGGACTTTGAGGAAGTGCACTGGCTCAACTTCACTGTGAGGGCCTCAGACAATGGGTCTCCGCCCCGAGCAGCTGAGATCCCCGTCTACCTGGAGATCGTGGACATCAATGACAACAACCCCATCTTTGACCAGCCTTCCTACCAGGTGGGCAGCCGGGCAACAAGTCGGGTCAGGACCCAGGCCCAGGCCTTGGGGCCTTTGGGCATCTTCCACCCCTACCCTGCCGGCCTCCACACCCTGCAGGCGTGGCCACCCCATGAGCAGCTTGGTGCCCTGGGTTGTCTACCAGGTGAGTTTTCAGGGCAGGGGCATAGACACTAGGCCTGACCCGAGCCCGCTTTCTTCTCTCCCTGCCCGCTGGGCTCCAGGAAGCTGTCTTTGAGGATGTGCCTGTGGGCACGGTCATCCTGACCGTCACCGCCACAGATGCTGACTCGGGCAACTTTGCCCTCATTGAGTACAGCCTCGGGGATGGAGAGGGCAAGTTTGCCATCAACCCCACCACGGTAAGCAAGCCAACTGGGTGATAGGAAGGGCGCAGGGGCAGAGGCTGAGAAGCCACCACAAGTCATCCCGGCTTCTGGGTCCTGCCATCGGGATGTCTGTGGTCTCGGAGGTTTTTCCACCAAGTCAGCAAGCCCGGCAAGAGTCCCAGACATCCTGTAGACTGTGGCCTTTCTGTCCCTGTGGCCAGAGTTTTTTGGAACTAGCCTTTGTGGGACAAAAAAAATTCTGAGATGTGTCCCCACCAGACTAGAAAACTTGACTCGGGTCCAGGCGACTGCTTTTTAAAACTGTCAAGAGAGAGGTATAGGAAGCTCTGTGGAAAGTGGACACAGTGTTTGAGCTCCTGCTGTATCCATGGCCCCATATCAGTGCTGGGGGGCAGGGGGAGGAAGCCTCCATGGGTGTCTCCCCCATGCTGCCATGGGTCTCAGACTTGTGGGAGAGTAGAAACTCAAGAGAAAGGATGGGTGATGATTTCAAATGACTGTAAATTGGTTCAAAGCTGCTATTTCAGCACAGGGAGAGACCACTGTGGCCTGGGGGTGGCTGGTCAGGCAGGACCTTCCCCAGGGATGGGGTCAGAACTGGACTTGCCCTCCTACAGCCTCTCGCTGCCCACATCCCCCTACACTCTGCCCCGTCAGCAGGGTTCTGTCCTTCCTGCTCAATGTGAATGATCAGTCATGCCCCTGGCCTGGCACTGTGAACAGCAAATGCTCTACATCTGGCCAGGTAGCAAGCTCCAGCCTGGGCTGTCCAACCCATCTCCAGGTGGATTAGAGTCGTGAGGGCAAGCGGAGCCACTAGAATCCGAGCTCCCTGGGGATAGGGGCTGTTGTCTCTTCTGTTCGGTGCCGTGTCTCCAGAGCCTAGAACAATGTCTGGCGTAGAGTGAATGCTCAATAAATATCAGTTGGATTGATGAAGGACCTGATTCTACCCTCCCCTTACTAGGGTGACATCTATGTGCTATCCTCTCTGGACCGGGAGGAGAAGGACCACTATATTCTGACGGCCTTGGCCAAAGACAACCCTGGAGATATAGCCAGCAACCGTCGAGAAAATTCGGTGCAGGTAAGGGCCATCAGCCCAGGCCAGGGACACTAAGGACTGGAATTGTGGAGGCAGCAAGCAAAGCCTTAACTTTAGAGAACGCTGCAGAGTGGGAGCAGAGCCCCCCCACCCCATCCCCTCGGAGACATGGTGGCAGGAGGAGACGGCAGGAGCTTAGCTGGGTGAGTCAAATGGCAGTGGCTTAGGGAGATGGGGACTCTCTAAGAGAAATCTGTTGTGCCCAGCCCCTGCGAAGACAGTGTTTAAACATACCTGAGTGTAACCAAGTAAAGCCTGGGGCTCCAATGTCCCACTATCCATGGTGTCCCAGTGAAAACAACAGTCCAGCAACCAAACATAATTGTAACACAGTTATTTTCATTTATGTCCCTTCAAGAACATTAAGAGGGTTTCCAGTTCTCAGCCCCATTCCTACTCCGGCTCTAGCCTCAACACAGTTGCCCTGAGGCCAGCCTACCGCCTTCTAAGCTCTGTCCCCACTTCTGTCCAAAGTCCCATGCCTTGAGGCTCTGCTTTCTCCTTCTTTCTTCCCCGGTTCCTGCTTTGTCCAGTCCTTTCCGTATGCAGTTCTGCCGTTTCTCCCCACAATAGCCTAACCATCCAAGGAAAACTCTCCTGGAGCGTGGGGGCTGGTGAGCAGCTGGGTGGGCAAAGACAAAGTCCTGTTAGCAGGTCTCCCTAAGGGGGAAGGAGCCGGGAGCACTCACATGCCCGAATCCCATCCCTGTTACATTGCTGCGCTGGGAACAGCCCAGTATTTGGAGTCAGAAGACTAAGTAAGACTGCACTGGGCGTCTGGCATACAACCTCTCTGAGCCTCAGTTGTCAACTCTGCAGGAGGTGGGAGGCAGGGAGATGGGGAGTTGGAAGGTGTTTTGTGCACAGAACAGGGTTCTTAAAATCCTGAAGGGCTCTCGTGGGGATGCAGTCAGGCAGGGCGTCAGCAGCCAGAGGAGAGACGGCCTCCGGCCTGGTGTGGCCATGGGCCCCGCCCTGGCTTGGGGGTCGGCAGAGGGAGCCAAGTTCCAAGCCAGACACACATGCTAACCAAGAACGAACTTTTGGGAGTGGAGGAATCACAGGGCAGCATTAAGGTTGAGAAATTAAGAGTCAGATGTAGGGGCCACGGTGGGAAGGAGCAAAGGACAGAGTGGGAGGCGGTGGGGGAGGGCTCCCTGCTTCGGGACCCAGACACAGATACCTGGTAACCACAGGACTAGCTGCAGAGCATTAACTGGGGCCGGGAGCTGTGCATCACGGGAGAGCCTTACCGGCCCCTGAGAGAGGAGATATTACTGTCCCCAGCGCACAGCTAAGGACATGGAGACTCGGCCGGCGGGGGGCAGGGGGTAAAATAAATTGAGGTCGGAATCCAATAGTGGGCACTGTCTACGCTGGCTTTTACTCCTGTATGACCGAATCACCCGAAGCAGCCCCTCAGTATGCTCCTGACCTTTGACATCAGCCTCCCCGCCCCCCCCCCCCCCAGGTGGTGATCCAGGTGCTGGACGTCAATGACTGCCGGCCACAGTTCTCCAGGGCCCAGTTCAGCACAAGCGTGTATGAGAACGAGCCGGCAGGCACCTCAGTCATCACCATGATGGCCACCGACCAGGACGAGGGCCCCAATGGGGAGTTGGCCTACTCACTTGAGGGCCCTGGTGTGGGTAAGTAGCCCGCTCCCCACCTGTGATGCCTTGGGCGTGGGAGGAGCAGGCGGTGGTCTGCGCGGCCCCAGGCCAGGAGGAGGAGGAGGAGGGACGGGAGGGACATCTCAGCCAGAGCCAGGCCCGGCTCTCCTGTCCCACCCGCCAGAGGCCTTCCACGTGGACATGGACTCAGGTCTGGTGACCACAAAGCGGCCGCTACAGTCCTACGAGAGGTTCAACCTGACCGTGGTGGCCACGGATGGCGGACAGCCCCCACTCTGGGGCACCACCATGCTCCTGGTGGAGGTCATCGACGTCAACGATAACCGCCCTGTCTTCGTGCGCCCGCCCAACGGCACCGTCCTCCACATCAGAGAGGTACCACTGTCCCCTGGGCCTCCCGCCCACCACCATCTCCCTCCCGCAGTCACGCCTGGAAGAGCAAAAGGGTCCCCCTGGGAAGATGGGGAAACTGAGGCCACTATGCCAGTGCAAGGTCCTGGGCCCAAGTCTGACTGTCACTACTGTGACCTTGAGAAAGTGACTTCTCTGGGTGGTTTTTCATCCGCAAAACGGGACTAAGAATAGTAGATGCCCTAGCTCTTGCTCCTAGACGTCTGCCAAAAAAGGCGGCCTCCCCGGACACCCACTTCCCCTGTATTTGTGTCTCAAAATATACACACATGTTCCTTCCGTCTGTCTGCTGTTCCTGCTGATACCCGGCCTAGGGACTGGGGATGGGCATCCAAATAAGAAACAAGGGGAAGTGGCTGAGGTTCCAGAATTCCCCAATCCTTCTTCCATCCCTTGTTCTAAATTGCCTCATAAAGGCAGGGAGCATTCTTTTATCCCCTGCCCTGCCCCTCCTTCCTCTCAGCCCCCAGGCCCGACCTGCTCAGTGCTGGTCCACTCAGGAGATCTCCCACCTGTTCTCTGTTCCCCGAACTTCAGCATGCCTCCGCCTCTCAGAATGTCAGTATCAGGTCCTTGTCACTGTCCCCACTTTGAGGTCCCACAGGAAACATATCCCCCAGGGCTGAGCAGCAGGAAACTCTGTGCCCAGACCTTGTGAGTTGCTTTATCCGGTGCCCATGGCAGTGAGGGAATGGTCCTCTTTGCGCTGCCCACTGGGGAGCTCGGTGAGGCCAGCGCACGCTGAGTGACCCTGCAGGGGCTTAGTGCACAGACCTTGCCCCCCACCCCTCAGTTTCCATTTTCCTGTCAACCGTTTCTTTTTCTTTACCCTGATTTTTTTTTAACTTGTTCATTCTTGTTATAATTTATACGTTCTTGTAAGTGCCCTCAAATCTTTTTTGTGGAAGAAGGCAAGATATAAATTAATAATAATCTAGTTCTTTTCCACAACAAAGGCCCCATTTGCTATGTTTTCCCCTTCAAGACACCGTATTTTGAAAGATCCGTGTCTCCTGGGCGCCTGGGTGGCTCAGTCGGTTAAGCGACTGCCTTCGGCTCAGGTCGTGATCCTGGAGTCCCTGGATCGAGTCCCGCATCGGGCTCCCTGCTCGGCGGGGAGCCTGCTTCTGCCTCTGACCCTCCCCCCTCTCATGTGCTCTCTCTCTCTCATTCTCTCTGTCTCAAATAAATAAGTAAAATCTTTAAAAAAAAAAAAAAAAAAAGAAAGAAAGAAAGATCCGTGTCTCCCAAACAGCCAGCATTTGTCATCACGCTTGCTATTAATTAGATGTAACTACCATTTGGAGTCTCTGATTGTCCTGATCAGTGAGATACAAAGTAAAGCCATGCTGAGCTGATAATTTTTCAAGTAAAGGCCAAGAAATGTGCTCTTTTCCTTGTGCCCTGTGCAGCCTTATTATGGGTTAGTATATGATGTCCATCAGATTTCCTGAGATCTTAGACTTAACTCAAGGGAATCAGGAGCCTGGGGCCCAGAGAGGTAGAGTGCATGTCTAAGTCACACGGTGAATTTGTAACAGACTAGAACCCAGCTGTTGTCTCTATCCACCATGTCATCCTACCCGCCTGTCCCTCATTTTCGGGTACCCCACTGGGTAGATGGTGGTGTCTGGGGATACCTAGGGCTCCTATGATTAGGGTAGCAGAGCACAAGACAGACCCAGGGACAGAGGGGTAGCTGTGGCCTCAGCCTTTGGATTCCCCCTCCGCCTTCCAGTGGGATCCAAGAGACGGGGGAAGTCCCTGGAAGGGCAGTAACCCTGAGAGAGTGTGAAGCATGGTGGATGGAGACCAGGCAGGTCCACCAAGGGGCAGTGGAGTGGGGGTGGGGTGAAGGGATGTTCTAGCAGGTGCTCAAGACTCCAGGAGAGCAGCTAAGCCGGCAGACATTTCCTAAGGATGCTGGAAGGTGGCAAGGACAGTCTGCTGAGTGAGGAGAAAGCACAAGAGCGCCGTCAGGGCCTGGGAGCTGGGATTCTCTCAGACGCCCCAGGAGCCTCCCTGCCAACCCCCGCCACCCCCCACCGCAGGAGATCCCGCTGCGCTCCAATGTATATGAGGTCTATGCCACAGACAAGGACGAGGGCCTCAATGGGGCTGTGCGCTACAGCTTCCTGAAGACGGCGGGCAACCGGGACTGGGAGTACTTCACCATCGACCCCATCAGCGGCCTCATCCAGACAGCTCAGCGCCTGGACCGCGAGAAACAGGCCCTGTACAGCGTAAGGGGGCGGGGCCCGGGCGAGGGGCGGGGCCGAGGGCGGGGCTTTCCTCCGGCCACAGGGCCACCCCCTCCCCACCTAGAATGCCTGCCAGGGTGGTGAGCTGGCTCCCCGGGGGTGCCCTCCTCTGACTATGTTCTTCTGTCCCCCAGCTCATCCTGGTGGCGAGCGACCTGGGCCAGCCAGTGCCATACGAGACCATGCAGCCGCTGCAAGTGGCCCTGGAGGACATCGACGACAACGAACCCCTCTTTGTGAGGCCTCCAGTGAGCTCACCCCCGCCCCGCCCCGCACCAGCCACACCCACACAGGGACTCACCCGCCCCCGTGCTCACTGCCGCTACGTGTGGTTACATTTGGAAACCCTGCACGCCCCTCACAGAACAAATATTTACTGAGCAGTTGCTATTTCAAGGTACTACTCTGCAGTCAGCAAAGCCAACAGGCCGGCCTTGTGGAGAGGTAGCTCTCCTGATTGCATGCACGAGAGCACGCACAGGAAACCTGAAATTCAGCTCTGCTGCGCGGAGCTGCGCCTGAGCCCCTCCTGTTGACTCAGACTCTGCGATGTGCTGGGGTTTTTTCTTGTGTGCACCTGGGATGTGAGGTTCCCCGGAGACCGTGTGAGTGCGAGTGTGCGCACGTGCACATGTGTATGACTGTGCCCCCTTGTTCAGACATCGGCTCAGGTGTTCTGTGAAGCTCTTTGCTTCATAGAACAGGCCAGGCCAGGCCCAGCCCATGCTTCTTGATGTTCCAGAAGCTCTGCTCACCCCACGGGGCCTGGGCAGTGATTCCCTCAGCCCACAAAAGGCACTGCCTGGGGCCCTCCGACCTTGGCCTCCTGTGGCCCCCCTCTCCCCCCTGCAGAAAGGCAGCCCCCAGTACCAGTTGCTGACAGTGCCCGAGCACTCTCCACGCGGCACCCTCGTGGGCAACGTGACAGGCGCCATGGACGCGGACGAGGGCCCCAACGCCATCGTGTACTACTTCATTGCAGGTGGGGCCCGTGGGGGGCTCATGTCCTACCGACCCTGGGGCTGGAGAGGACCCCACCAGGCCCCACCCCGGCCCCACCCCCTCACCCTGTGCCGTGGTCCCGCCCGCAGCCGGCAACGCAGAGAAGAACTTCCATCTGCAGCCTGACGGGCGCCTGCTGGTGCTGCGGGACCTGGACCGGGAGCGGGAATCTGTCTTCTCCTTCATCGTCAAGGCCTCGAGCAACCGCAGCTGGACACCCCCGCGGGGGCCCTCCCCGGCCCTCGACCTGGTCACCGACCTCACCCTGCAAGAGGTGCGCGTCGTGCTAGAAGACATCAACGACCAGCCCCCGCGCTTCACCAAGGCCGAGTACACCGCAGGTGCCGGGGGCGGGGTCTGGGTCCCGGAGGCGGAGCCTGGGTCCCGGGAAGAGAGCGCCCCCTCTCTCCCCCGGCCCTGCCACTTAGATCCGCTTGCCCATTCCGCAGGAGTGGCCACCGATGCCAAGGTGGGCTCAGAGTTGATCCAGGTGCTGGCCCTGGATGCAGACATTGGCAACAACAGCCTCGTCTTCTACAGCATCCTGGCCATCCACTACTTTCGGGCCCTCGCCAATGACTCTGAGGACGTGGGCCAGGTCTTCACCATGGGTAGGAGCCTCCACCCAAGACCTCTGTCACTGCATGGACTGTAGTCTGGAGGAGATGGGGTCTGTGTGGGCACCACAGGGTATGAGTGACTGGCCAGCCAGCCATGTGAATCCTTCCATTCACCCTCCCATCTAACCGTCATCCAGCCAGCCCCTTGTGAATCCTTTCTTCCATCTACCTTTCTAGTCTCTGATCCACGTCTCCATCTCTCCATCTACCCACCCGCTTTCTCCTTCCTTCCTTCCCTCCATCTTCTCATCCATCCGTTATTCATCCATCCATCCATCCATTCACCCACGCATCTGTCAGTCTGCCCCACCCCGGGCATCTGTCCATCCTTCCTCTCACTCATCCATCCGTCCACCCATCTACCCATCTGTCCATTCATCCATCCACATTCCCATCCTCCTCCTTTCCGTATGTCCACCTGTCTTCCCATTTGTGTACCTCTCCCTCCCCCGGGTCAGGCATTGTGCTAAGCACTGGAGGGCACATATGTACCTAAAGGTATGCATGCTGACTTGTGCATTTGCCTGTGTGGAGAGCTGAGCCTCTTGGGTCAAGTTCAAGAAGGTGTCCTGGTGGGTGTCCCATGACCTTACTTCTAGACCCCACCCCTTCCCCACTCTTGCCTACAGGAGTCAGTCTAGACTCCTTCCTTGGCCTGCCTTTCAAGGTTCACCAGGTCTTCCTCCCAGTCCCTCTTCTGTTTCCACAGCCCGCCCACTACCTGTAAGGGCCCAGTGTCCACCCAAAGCTGAACACCTAAGCACTCCTTCAGCCTTTTCTATACTGCCCTCCGTTGGCCTTCGCTCTTTGTCTTCACCTCCTGAAATACCACCTTGACCTTCACCTCTGCCTTCAGATATGCTCCCCATTACCATCCTCTGGAGCCTAATTCACAGGCCACCTCCTCTGGTCACACAACCAGATGCCATCCTTTGTCCTCTGATCTACTGCTGCTCTTAGTTTAGTAAATCAAGGCACAGAGAGGCTACATAGCTTGCTAAAGGTCGCACAGCCAGAAAGTGGCAGATCTTGAACCCAGGTCTGCGGTCTTCTAAGACAAGACTGCCACAGCACCTCGGGTCATCTCTGTAGTACGGCTGTGGAATTCTGAAGTGCATGTGTGTGTGACAGAGAGTCAGTGGGGGGGCTCAGACGTGTTCCCTGATCCCCCAGCATGGGACAGAGGAGTCCCAAACTTACCATCCTTAGGTCAGTGCAGCCCACAGCTGTGTTTGAACTTGCAGGGTTTAAGTAAAAACTTAGAAATCTCTAGAAGTACCAGTTTGGGCAGCAGCGGCTGCCTTCTCTGAGGATGAGAGATCAGCTGAGCCGACACCAATGCCACTGCTCCCTCAGATGAACACTCACATTCGCTCATCCCCACGCCTCTCTCCCGGGCCCTGCGGGCACTTACGGCCTGAGATGCTGCCTCCCCTCGGTGTGTCCAAATGCCCCTGGCCCTCAGCCCTCCCCAGGGGGTTCAGGGGCACTGGCTGGTCCCTGAGCTGCACCTGCCCGTGGGCTCTTCCCACAGGGAGTGTGGATGGTATCCTGCGCACCTTCGACCTCTTCATGGCCTACAGCCCCGGCTACTTTGTGGTGGACATCGTGGCCCGGGACCTAGCAGGCCACAACGACACAGCCATCATCGGCATCTACATCCTGAGGGATGACCAGCGTGTCAAGATCGTCATTAATGAGATCCCCGACCGTGTGCGTGGCTTTGAGGAGGAGTTCATCCGCCTGCTCTCCAACATCACTGGTGCCGTCGTCAACACTGATGATGTGCAGGTGCCCCATGGAACCGCCCCGGGTCTAGGGGCTGTAAGGGGAGGGGGACCAGGCCACAGGGACGGGGCATGGCAGAGAGATCAGGGGTCTGAAAGGGGGGTCTGTGCCGCCTCTGTCATTCCCTAGCAACGTGGCCTCGGAAAAGTCCTTCCACGTCTCTGGCCCTCAGTAGCCTCACCTATAAAATGGGGCTAATAATAGTGCCCAGCCCCACGCAGTGAAGTGATTGGCATCATGCTTGGTCCTCAGGGAGCACTCAGCAGCGATGCGTTTATTGGCAGGGCAGGCCAGGAGGGGTTCCCCATCCCATTCCTTGCTCCTGCCACAGCCCACCATGCCCCCTCTCGCCTAGTTCCATGTGGACAAGAGGGGTCGGGTGAACTTCGCACAGACCGAGCTGCTCATCCATGTGGTGAACCGCGATACCAACCGCATCCTGGACGTGGACCGGTGGGTGGGGTCTGTGCTCAGACCGTCGGCCCGACCTCCCTGCCCTGGAGTTGGGGAGGGACCCCCCAAAGGAGACAGATAACACCATCAGGCTGGCTGTGGGGGGGTCCCCCCTCAGCAGGGCCAGTAGAGAATAGTTTGGGGGTGTCCTCCACCCCTCTGAGCCTTACTCTCCCCATCTGCAAAATGCCAAGTACTACATGGATGGCGAGGAGCAAGCAGGATCTTGTGTTGAGGGGTGGTGAACCCTATAAGATACAAAGCTATTCTAGCTGGGTGGGATCTGATCTTGCAAGGCTTGGTGGGGTTGAATTTGGGAGTCAGAGGCAAGAGCTCTGCAGACCTTTCTGCGTGGGACAAGCTCTTAAGGAATGGCTGAGGGGAGCTGAGGCCCTTGCCCCTTGCGCAGGGTGATCCAGATGATTGACGAGAACAAGGAGCAGCTACGGAATCTCTTCCGGAACTACAACGTTCTGGATGTGCAGCCTGCCATCTCTGTCCGGCTGCCCGACGACATGTCCGCCCTGCAGGTAGTCCTGGTGGCACCCAGCCCCGCCGCCCCTCTGCCCTGGGTGCTCTTGCCCACTCATGCCTGGCCCCACTCCCCCAGATGGCGATCATTGTCCTGGCCATTCTCCTCTTCTTGGCGGCCATGCTCTTCATCCTCATGAACTGGTACTACAGGACTGTGTGAGTGACCCCCACCTCCCTGCCCTGGGACAGGCTGACCAGCCCTGCTCCTGGGACAGTCACAGAGGTAGGCAGGGCCCTGAGATGCCAGCCCTGCCCAGCCTCCTTCACCAGCCCCTCTCTCTGCTTCCCTCCAGACACAAAAGGAAGCTCAAAGCCATTGTGGCTGGCTCAGCAGGTGAGCAAGGGCTGTGATTGGGGGGGGGGGGGGGGCTGAGAGGGCAGGAGGGGCCCCGAGGGGCCTAGAGTGCCTGCCTAGGCCTCACAGGGCTGGCTCGGCTCCCCCGGCCCAGCAGGGTGCACCCCTCCCCTCCATGCCCTAGCACTTCTCCCTACAGGGAACCGTGGTTTCATTGACATCATGGACATGCCCAACACCAACAAGTATTCCTTTGATGGGTAAGTGGGGTCCCTGAGCCCTCAGGGTGCACTTTGGGGAGGCCTGCCCAGGACCCAGTTGGAGTAGGTTCTCTACCACCCCTCAAGCTCTGAGGGACCAGACTAGCTAAAACTTGGGGTGGTGGTGCCCCCTAGTGGGCCAGTCACCCTTCTCTACACTCAGAAACTATTGGCTGAGCTGGGATCCACACCCTAATTGGGCCCCAGTGCCAGGGGACATAGACTTTGGATACCACATGCAGAGTGAGGCCGCTGGACCCAAGCTGATCCAGACTGACACGTCGCCCTGGTTCCTGCAGGATCCTAGTGTGGGAGGGTGCACCCCTGAGGACCACAGGCAAGGGGCCTCCTTCTCATGGCCCTGAACCACCAGTCCCATGCTGGCCAGGGAAGAGGGCAGGGGTTAGTGGGGAAGCTACAAGAGCATCTGTGCACTCAGGCTGTCCCTCCTCACTCCAACCCCCCACCACCCCCAACATGCAGAGCCAACCCCGTGTGGCTGGATCCTTTCTGTCGGAACCTGGAGCTGGCTGCCCAGGCTGAGCATGAGGACGACCTGCCAGAGAACCTGAGTGAGATTGCAGACCTCTGGAATAGCCCCACCCGCACCCATGTGAGCCGGGGCCAGAGCTGGGGGCTGGGGACAGTCGTGAGGGATGGGGTGGAGGTAAAGCAGGTCGTGGCCACTGCTCACCAAGGAGCTGGGTTCCGGGGGTGGGGGTGGGGGGATTGTATCCACTGCTCCGGGTGTGTTGTGTATGTACACGTTTGTGCATGCAGTCTACCTCTGCTCCAGTTCGTGTTCTCTCTCCCCAGGGAACTTTTGGGCGTGAACCGGCAGCAGTCAAGCCTGATGATGACCGGTACCTGCGGGCAGCCATCCAGGAGTATGACAACATTGCCAAGCTGGGCCAGATCATTCGGGAGGGACCCATCAAGGTGAGTCCTCCCTGCAGGCTCCTGCACCACACCCCCTCAGGGCCCTGCATCCAGACCTCTGACCGCACTAGGACTAGCTGCAGAGGATACAGGAATGGGGGAGGATCCTGGGAAACAACTTTTCCACCTCTAGGCTCAGCTAGAACTGGGCAAGAGTGACTGCGCAGAAAGAGGGGCCCGGGCACCAGGCTGATGGGGAGCTGCTTCAGCCTGCAGTGGCCTGGAGCCCACATGGGTCTGGCTGGTCACTGTCACCAGCAAGCTCTGCTCCCAATCCTCTACCCTTGGATCAGGTGCCTGTGCACCCTAGACTACTAGCACCTTCCATCACCCCCATCAGAGTTAGTGAGGGGTGTGGCAAGCAGGGGAGGGCCTTGGTGGGGGGTTAACCCTCTCCCTCCCCCAGGGCTCGCTGCTCAAGGTGGTCCTGGAGGATTACCTGCGGCTCAAAAAGCTCTTTGCACAGCGGATGGTGCAAAAAGCCTCCTCCTGCCACTCCTCCATCTCTGAGGTAGCCGGGCGGGCCCGGAGCTGTGTGCTGTGCCCCAGCGCTGGGGGTGCTCATTCCCTCCCTCCCTCTCTCTCTCAGTCTCTCTCCCCAGCCACCTTCATCCTTCTCAGTCTCTAGAGTTCAGCATCCAGGGCCAAAGACAGCAATGGGTGGGGTCCAGGAAGTCTACTTGCTGGGCTCCACAGTGGGCTTTCCCAGGGTGGGTACTGGGGAGTGTTTCTCAGACTTGAGGGGCCCAAGAAGATGCCCTGAAGGAGTGATGTCCTATAGGAAACTGGCTCAGGGTCAAATGGGTCTATACAGGTTTGTTTGCCTGCAGTAATGTCAACACTTTAAGAACTCAGACTTTATTTAAAAACCCAGATTTCCAATTGGGCCAACAATTCCCAAATGGAATAGGCCAGAGCTAACAGTTCCACACGGGACAAAAGTGCCACATGGTGAATTTCCACTATATCCTGTCACCCCTCCAACTTCACCTGTGGACACTCCCTACCTGGCCAGAGTGGATCCTGTTTGAGGATAGATTGGTAACAAATCCAGATCCCAAAACTGCATCACAGGATCTTTATAGACCATTAAATACACAGAATTCAAGATTCTCATGGGAAGCCCACGTTCTAAGAACACCACCCTAAGTGTCCGTGGTGCCCCCTTTGTACCCAGTTTGAGAAACACTGTCATCCGATGACAGGCCTACTGCAGCTCGAGCCCTGAGTGCCCTGCAGTCACCTGTGTGCGGGAGGGAAGAAACAGTGACACAGCAGGTGTGATTCTGGGGCCAGCCACCTGCTCAGCCCTTGGGCGTGGCCCTGAGCCTGGGCGGGTCCCAGAGCCGTGGGCGGGTCCCAGAGCCGCGGGCGGATCCTGGCCTCTTGCAGCTGATCCAGACGGAGCGGGAGGAGGAGCCGGGGGAGCGCAGCCCCGCCCAGGGCAGCCTGCGCTTCCGCCACAAGCCGCCCACAGAGCTGAAGGGGCCCGACGGCAGCCACATAGTGCACGGCAGCACTGCCACGCTGCTGGCCACTGACCTTAACAGCCTGCCCGAGGACGACCAGAAGGGGCTGGGCCGCTCGCTGGAGACCCTGACCACGGCGGAAGCCAGTGCCTTCGAGCGCAACGCCCGCACGGAGTCGGCCAAATCCACACCCCTGCACAAGCTTCGTGATGTGATCCTGGAGAGCCCCCTGGAGATCACGGAGCTATGACCAGACGGGGGGGCCTCGCTGGTGTCCCCCATCCTCCCGGGGCAGGGCAGAGCAGGACCACAGTGTGGGCCCCTCCCCAGGCCGGCCAGGGCTGTCCCACCTCGGGCTGGCCTGGTGGAGCCCGCTCCCGTTGCTCAGACTCCACCTCTGCCAGACGCCCATTCAGCACCTGACATCTACCTTCATAAAATTTGTTATTTTTTTAAGAAAACCAAACAAAAATGATAAGCATCTAAGGACAAGGTAAGGAGGGTCACTGGGGACCCAGGAGTCTGAGAACGAACTCAGCCCAGGCTGAGCTCTAAAAAGGCCACGCAGGCCCTCTCCCTCTCCCCTCCCCACATCCCTGTCCATCCCCCACCCTCCCCCGCCCCACGCCCAGCACCAGGGGAGGGAGGCCCAGAGCTGGCTTACCCCACCTGGCCTTGATTCTGACTTCAGCTCAAGTCCCAATGCATTTCTAGCACATCCCCCGGCTGGATACCCAGCTGGGGGCCGTGAGTGATCCCTACCTCCCCACACGGACATGGTCAATGTCAGCGAACTGCGTTCTCTACATTCCACTGGCTTCCCAAACGTGCCGGCTCATAAAGAGAAAGGACTGGTGTTCCCTTGGGTTCTGAATGTAGAGTGTTTGTGTGTATTCCTTTTTTAAATTAAGTTATTCCCTCAACATTTTCCCCTTGATTTTAACTGGTACTCACTGAACGTTTCTGGAATGGTCTGCATTTTAAATAAGAAAAACAACTCACAAGGAGGCAATTCAATTCGTTGTGGGCTCAGTAAACTACCCTCGGGGTTGGCCTGGGGCAAGGGGGAGGGGGCCTAGTCAATGGGGGGGGATTCTCTTTGCCCACTTTGCTCGCTTTCTGCGGCCAAGAGGGGCCAGAGGACCCTGGACACCCACAGGTCCGTGGCCCTGCAGCAACTCAGAAACCAAACGCTGGCTGAAGTGTTACAGAAGCACTCAGGCTCAGGTCTGGTTAACAGACTTTATTTATTGTTAAATCACAGAAACTTTAGTGCAAAATGAATCAAAAAAGTCATTAAGTCCATTTAATAGCAACTGCATGTCTCGCTGTCTCCTGGCAACTAGAAGTGGGGCAGAAGAGGAGGCCCAACGGGAGAGACAGGCGGCAGCCAAGGCCCCGGGACAGCACCCCCAGCACCCCTCTACCTGACAGAGGCTTAGGAGCTTCTCATCCACATTTACATCCACATTTATCTGACGGCCAGAAAGACCAGCTAGGAAATGGGGGATGGAGGTGAGGGGCCGGGAGGCACTAGAGACGCCCAAAGCAAGGCTCCAGCGGCCGGGTGGACACGAGAGCAAGCAGGCGGCCACTGCTGTCCACACACACATACATACACGCCAGGCCCACAGGACCTGCACGTGGAGCTAGCAGACGACATTCAGACAGGTTTCCCCCTCCCACCCAGATCCAAAGAACCCCGACCAAGGCATCACCAGGAAAGACAGCCCAAAGCTGAATTGGAGGGTGACCAGGGGACAGCGACCCCGAGACCCACCCAGGCCTCCTGAGCAGATGCCTCCCGAATCTCCCCTACGGTGAGAACTACGTGGTTTTAAAAAGCCTCTATTCTGAGCCTCTGATCTTTCATGTAACACTACCTTTGTTCTGCTTCTCTGGAGCGGCCCAGGAAGAAGGGAGGTCCCTGCTGAGGGATAGGCAGAGGGCTCAGAACAAGGCCCCAGCCAACATGATGGAGAGCCTTCTGTCAAGCAGCTCTGGCTCACGCCAGCCCCCAGAGCCCCCCACCACCTCCTCCAGGGAACCACCACACAAGGGCAGGCTGAAAGCCCTCCAGTGCACGGTCCATCCTCACCCGTCTAGGCAAAGGAAAGGGACAGTGAAGCAGCGGGGCAGCTGCAGGCCAGGCGCCTCCCGCACGGACAGCAATGCTACGGGGGACAGGAAGGAAGGGAGGGAAAGGGAACCTATTTTTATAACAGAGTCAACAGATGGGAGTGTTCACTGCCCCAGACACACAAGTAGGAAAAGATGCTGTAGTTTCTCCAAGATGGAACGTCCCCCTTCTAGTTCCACACGTGACGTTTGCAATGCTCCACAGCCTGACGGGAGAGAGGAAGCTGGACTTAGTCTTCGTGTGACAAACTCTACTCCTGGCCTGTTCCTGCAGCAGACATCACCCAAAAATGGAACTTGTTCTCCTGTCCTAGTCAGCTGGACAGCACCCCACTTACAACTGGGGAGCATGTGGCCCCCGAGCGTCGGCGACTCCTAAGGCAAGAGTCCAGAGCAGCAACTGCAGAGCCCCTGAGTGTTTTACAGGTGAGCACCCATGCAGGAGGGCCCGGGACCCCTCCACCTGGTTACAGGCGGAGTCCCAGCGTTCAGCAGGCGGCATGGAGGCCCCCAAGGCAGAACTCACCCAAAAGAGTGCACCCTGGCTCAGGCCTTGAGAACAGTGGCCCCACAGGCCCCTTCACCCAGGATGGCAGCAGGGACCTACTCCTGCCGACTGTGCTATGCGCTGGGGCCGGCGGGGCAAGGAGCTGGACACGGCCAGGTGGGCATCACTGCCCCTTCCCCGCAGGGGCCCAAACTGATGGCAACCAGACCAGTGGCCACGCCCCACTGGTCATGAGGAACCCGCTGGAGTAAGAAGAAGCTGCGCAAAAGCACATCAAGTAACTGGCTGGTCCACCCGTCCTCACCCGAGCGAGCAGTGTGGTGCGCACCACGGGGGGCGGCCCGGCCAGGGCGGCACCACAGGCCCTGGAACCGCCGGGCAGGCACCACGCCTCAGGGCCACTCAAGAACAACGGCTCGGCCTTGGTGAAGACTCAGGCCAGGCTCCAGCCAAGACTGACCCCAGGGAGAGGAGGACTTGTGCAATCTCTAGGGTGGCCTCATGCGAATCCGATCCTGACCCTGTCAGAAGGGAACTAAAGGCAAAAACAAGGAAGCAGAAGCAAAAAAACACTAAAAAATACCCCCACCCTTACTTCTCAAAGGCAAGAACGTCGTCAGTCCCCCTGCCTTTGCTGGGCGGCCGCAAATAAGCCTCGCTGCTGCTCTGGGCCTCCGTGTTTTCCCGACACGAAGGCCAGCTAGAGCTCCCACCCCAGGCTTATCCAGGAGCGGCGGCCGAGCTACTCACATTGCACTCGGCTGCTGCCTCCATGCTCCGGCACCAGTAGCTGGGGCCCCACACACACTTCTCGGTTCCCAAAAGAGGCTTATGGGCTGCAGGGCAGGCTCCAATTTTCTATGTGGTGAAAACGGGGAAGACTTAGATCTGCCCTACTGATCCTTTTCAAAACCAGAAATTATCAGCTTCTAGAAGCAGCTAGAACTAGAGCTCGGACATGCACTTCCAAAGTCAGTGCCGCTGAGGGAAGCCCTGTCCTCCTCCCACAGTCCATCCCCAGAGACTCTGGCAGAACCTCAGAGGAGCCCCTGCTCTATGCAGAACCGGCCGGGCCCCACGCTGCCCGGAGGCTTACCAAGCACACGAAGGAAGGGTCCATCACCTCCACCAGGACTTCTATTAGCACGGGCTCGTACTCAGTCACAAACTGATCACACTGTCAGGTAAAAGGCAGACGGGTCCAGGTCGAGGCGTGCCCATGCAGAGTGGAGGCATAAAAGAAGGGGCGCTACGCATGCTCTGCCAGCCCGGCACCCCCTTCCCAGATGCCCCCACCCACCCACACTCAGCCTCCCCTCAGCTGCTCCCATTACTGCCCCTCCGCGGCTCCCCTTGAGCCAACAGACTAAGAAATGGCTAGTTCTCCCTGAAAACTTCAATCGGGGGCACAATCGGGGAGCTACCCCAGCCTTTGCACTCTGCAGGCAGGTTCGGACCTTCTGGCCTAAAGCAGCCCAGGGCGTACCTGCTTCTGGTATGGCTCGGGCAGGAAGCTGCAGCCTTTCTCGAGAGCAGACAGGATCTCCTGCTTCGTGCTGTTTTTCTCCAGGTTGTGGTCCAAATAGGTCATCAGCTTCTTGCACACCTCACAGAAGCCACCGTCCCTGGGCTGAATCACATGGACTACACACAGGAGCACAGGCTCAGTGCCGGCAGGGCCCTCCCGAGCCCCAGGGGCCGGCCAGCCGCCCCCTCACCCCGCTCACCAGGCAGCACAGGCAACCCCTGGCTGGAGCACAGATGGAGCATGCTGCACACGATCTCAGGGCTCGCCTCCTGCAGGAGGATCGACAGGATGGAGGTGCCATAAGTGTCCACCACCTCCTGGCACTCTTCGGTTAAGGATGCAGGCAACTTTGAGCACACTTTATCCAAAGCGTGAAGTATTTCTTCCTGAAACACAGAACAAGAGGACCCTACTAGAAGAGAGGCTGGAAATCCAGGGCTGGGAAAGAATCTCAGAATACTAACATGACCAGGAAACCAGCCCACAGCCAGGTGCTATTTCCTCCCCACAAAGACGAGACCTACAAAGCAGCCCAACCCCAGCCCAGAAGGACCCACCGGTGGGCGGCCGGTGTGCGGATTCCCAGAGCTGGTGTCCAATGCTGGCAAGGGCCAAGCCCACCTCTCTGCTGGTTCTGCCACTAGGAAACAGGAACACCCTAGCATTCTAGAAATGCACATACCTCAGTCCTGTTGTTGTCAATGAGCTTGACCACCTCCTTCACCACGTACTTGCACACCTCGCAGTAAACATTAGCCTTCGCCTGGACCATGTCCTTCTGTGGGAAGGGCAGGAGAGCACTTTAATGCTGAGACCCTCACCTCACGCCCCCTGGGTCCTGCTAGCAGCTCTAAAGGGGAAGGGACACCCTGTAGCCAGGGACAGGAGAATGTCACACACAGGGTGGCTTCCTCCCAGTGTCCAAGTTCCTGTCCCTGCTGGTTTTATGTGGTGGGAGACCCATCCCTTTGCCCAGTGCTCTACCACCACCACCTCCCACCACGTACCCCCAACCCCACAGAAAAACCAGGAATTCATACTTCAGGAAGACAGAAGCAATAAAACCTGCTTCGAA